GGTTGACAGATGTGTGTAGTAGAGGTTGAACAATTGGATTCAGGCAAACACAGAGGAAAGCATACATTATGTGTCTTCACCCATCTCCTCCAGATTTGGGGTCTCAGACAGGAGCCTTGTGGGCAATAAATTTGAGACCCCTTCCCTGGGCTAATACAAACAACCTCCTCAGTGGTCCCGTTTCTGCCCTTGGTCTTCGTACACCCCGCCCTCACAGTGCACCTAATCACACGCGGGCTCGGTCATCTCGTCCTTCCCCCAGGAAAGCCCTCCAGTGGCTCCAGGCCCACAAGGGTCCTGAATAAGTTAGAGTTTCATGCCAGGCCCGTCGTGATTTGCCTGCTGCCTGGCTTCATTTCCTTCACTCGCCTCCTATTCCCAGTCCTCGGAGTCCTCGAGAACAAGTCACGTCCACCCATGCCTCCCAGCTTTGGTGTGTTCTAATTTATCTTTCTGGAATGCCAATTCCCTCTCTCCAAGCTCCTCCTCCAACAGAACTTCCCTTGTGGAGGCTTCCCCGGCGTGGAGCCAGTTACTGTTCGATGGAATGGCACTCCTCAGGCCCCCTCACCCTCACACAGGACAAGCTCTCCCGGCTCCAGCTGGACGAGACAGCGTGAGGCAGGCTGGCTGAGCGGCACACGCCCCTGCTCTTGGCCACTTCCCAGGAGCTCTGCCCATCCAAGGGCGGGGCGGGCAGCCCAAGGCCATCAGCACCGCTGATCACTGCTGACCATGGTCTATCTCAGGAGAAGATCGAAGTCCCGTGCAGTCAGTGACCCGCCCCGCCCGAGGTGTTGCCAAGGAAGCTTTGGCAGGAGCTGGGAGTCCCTTCCTCCACCCTTCCCCCTGACACCCTCTGCCCGTGCTCACCTACCCGCCCAATGTCCTCGAGGTGCCCTGGAGCTTGCCCAAGGGAAGGACAAAGTTCATGGGCGAAGACACCCAGCAGGCCAATCTCCCCAGCAGGTCCCCACCTTACCGAGATCTTGGTGAAGATGTAGATAAACAGGTAGAGCACAGCCAGGAGGGTGGGGATCCTGTTGCCGCCGAAGCGTTTCCGGAGGTATTCTGGCATCGTGGTGACCTGGGGCCAGAGCCCAGCTTTCACCCCATCTGGCCACGGCCTCAGGGCACCAGCCCCCCCCACCCCCAACGCTGCACACACATGGTCTAGGGAGTCGCAGTGGGGGACTCAGAAGGGAGGAGAAAATGGGAGCAAAGAGGTGAGTGGAGGAATTGGGGTTCTGTGCAGGAGTATGTACCCAACTATCATATTTCCCAAATGGGAGGCATTTGGGTACCCCATCCAAATTTTTGCCATCTCCGCTATTATTAATAATGTTTTCTTTTCAATCAACTCACTTTTTTATTCAAATAAATTAATCTACAAAGGAAATTTCAAATCAGCACTGTAAAGGGAAATCGATTCAAAGTGTACGGGAGCCAGAAAAAATAAACGCATGGATAATAAAACAATTGGTTTGGTTTCTCTTCTTTTCTGGCAACTTGCTGTTGCACAGCAAAGACTCTGGGCTCAGAGCCGCTCGTTCTTTCTTTAAGAAAAAAGAAAAGAGTGTCGGCGAAGCACCCGCGTGCGCTATCCCCCGGGGTCACCCAACAGCTGACCGACCAGGAAAGGAAATCCCTCGCCATGGGGTTCCGTGTCGCTGGCCACGGGCACACCTCAGACCTGCTCAGTGACTCCCTGTGCCCATGTGCTGACCTTTGGGGAAGTTGCTCTACTGTAACCTTTAGCCAGATCCCCGTGAACACCAGGGGGTTCTACCAGCAAACCACGCGGACTCCAGAGAGGACGGGCACCAGGGGACCCCTTCGCCCGGAGGCACTGGCCGAGGGAGGCCCCGCACGCCTGGGTGGGAGGCCCGAGCCAGGTGTCCTTGCCACGTGGGACACCCCAGGAGCTGAGCCATGTTGCTGAGCACCATCTGGGGGGCAGCACTGTTCTTGGGGTTTGGCATGTCTGTCCCCATCTCCTCGTCCCCTCTGCACCCCCGACTCAGGGTTGAGAAAATATCATCTAGCCTCTGGCAGATGGCACGATCTTCTGCTCGCCACAGAACACGAAGACCATCGGCTGAGAAGGCCTGGCCGCCTACCTGTGAATGAACCTGCATCTCTACCATCCTTGATGCCTTTCCATAGTAGGTGCTCAATAAATGCTTACTGATGCCCTGGCCCAGCACCCCTCACGCCCGCCCGGTGCCGTCATACCCGACACATTGGCTGTGCAGGAGCCAGTCACGGGGGCCCACCCACCAAAGGCCTTTCTTATTCAGACTCGGATTGTCTCCAACTGGGACCATGTATGCCCACATCACCGCCCTTCCCACAGATCACACTGCTTCTGGCACATTTTTAAACGACTTGTCTCATCATTAAGCAGCTCTGTCTACTTTGTGTATTTAAAAACTTTTCATAATAGAAGGTGAAAATCAGTTATTGCTTTATGAACAACTCTGTGATATTGATGATCGTGCCGTGTGTGTTAAACCTCTAAAACAGTGCCAGTGACAGAAAGGTGTCAATAAGATCAGAAATAATGTCCAAAACTGCTTTTTCAAAATCCTCAAGCAACATTATTTGGTAAAATAAAATTATAATATTTCATATCAGTTAGAAGTAACTCAATTATTGTAGTTTTGCATGCAACGGAAGAAAAATCACTGGATTGGGTTTTTCTTAAGTTGAAAGGAGTAACGTGCTATGCCGTGCTAT